AACCAACAGACTGAGGGGAAAATCAGAGGGGCAAGGTGGGAAGGCAGAATAACCAATGAGACGAGTGGGCGCTTCCTGGATACTGCATGATACTAAGGAATTAATAATACTGTTTTTAGTTGTGATAATGGGGCTGTTGTGTAATATCTTTAATGAGCCTTTATCTTCTAGAGATACTTCTTGAAGTGTTTCCAGATGAAACAACGTGATGTCTGATACTTGACTCAGAACAATTTTGGAGATGGGAGTGGGCGGGGAGATACATGAAGCGAGACTGGCGGGGATGAGTAATTGTTGAAGCTGACGATGAATCCATGGGATTTCAATATACAATTCTATGTTCATATAGGTTTAAATTTTTCCATGATAGAATAGTTAAGCAAGCAAAAAAAAAAAAAAGAGTGAGAGAGAGGGAGAGAGGAAAGTAAAGGACAGGAGGGAGAAAGAGAGGAAGGGAGGGAGAGAGGGAGGGAGGGAGGGAGGGAGGGAGGGAGGGAAAGAAAAAAAGAGAAACACGTTCTATGCAGCATATGTCACTACCTGTAACAACGATCGCCGTGGATTTTCTAGACAGAAAAAGAAATCCCCAGGCCACCCCACCGAAGTGGATTTAAGATTCTGGGGCTTGTGGACATAGATTGTTTGCACATTTGCCTCAGCAAAGAAGAGTGTCACCAGCAGACCTTGGTGCCCCTCAGCCCCTGTGGCCTCTTGACAAGCCCTCTCCCTCCCTAACACAGTAGACACAGTGAGGCAGCTTTGTTGGGACACTCTTGTCCCTTTAGACATTAATCTCACAGATGGCACAGTGACAGCTTGGGGACTGGAGCAGGGCCATTCCCCATAACAGAACTCCAGAGACGTGTTTGAACACAGGAAAAGAGAAGATTTTACAAGTCTCCAAAATAAAATAAGCCCCTGAGAAGAGAAGCGAGAACGCGGTGCCAGGTGAGGAAGATTTTCTTTACAAACACAAGGCAAAAGTACTGGTCTGCTGGTCCCCTGCCAGGGGCCCCTGGGTGTGGAAGATGCAGTGAAGAGGGCAGGGATGAGGCTGGAAGGTACACTCCTGCCCCAGGGTTTTGTGCAGCCCATCTTAGAGTGGGGAAGGGGCCGCAGCGGGGTGGAGGCTCAGGGTCTGTCCCAGTGCTCTTGGCTGCAAACCCACTCCCCCTGGGGAAACTCTTCTGCTGGCCCAACCACTGGGGACCCTGGGCAAGCAACTTGATCTCTCAGTGATACGGACGGGACCTCCCACCTCACAAGGCGATTGTAAGGATCGGGCGCAATGAAAGATTCATTCTGTGGAGATGGTCCCTGGCTCCAATTTATCCCCATGGAGCACGTTGATCTGCTAAGAAATGAACCAGTGCATTTCCTCCCAAGTGCCTCTGAGCTCTCCCCCAGGTGCCACTTCCGGGCTCTCTCCTGCCCTCCCTTCCCGCCCGACCCCAATGCAGGGTTGCCCATTGTGCCTCTCAGCAGCCTCAGGGTAGTTCCCTACTGGTCCCTGTCCCTCTCTTTTGGTCTTGGTAGGGTTTCAAGATTGATCCTGGAGCACAGTTCTCTGCTGCTCTTTTGTAAGGCTGGTGAATGAAGCGAGCCCATTAGCAGGCCCTAGAGCGGCGTTTTTCAACCGGTAGGGCATACCGGTGTGCCACAAGAATTTTTAAGACATGCCACACCTGACTATTTAGTCAGGGGCACTGACCTCTTTTCCCTTAGACTGTCCAATTTCGGAGATAGGAGACAGGCCTGAGGAGGGGTACAACAGCCGGCACAATAATAATCGTTTAGTGTGAATGAGTCAAAATCACACCTATTTTTTGGTTCGATCAGTAAAAAATATATTTTTGGTGTGCTGCAGAATTTTAGTGGTTTATGTGTGCCATGAGGTGAAAGACTGAAAATCGCTGTCCTAGAGTGTTTCCATCTCTCTCTCCCTCCTCAGCCACGAACGAGTCTGCCCCCTCCTCCCACCTCTCTGACCCTGGCTGTCCTCGCTCCCTCCAGGAGGCCCTCGCCAATTGCCGGCCTCGCACAGACCCCCCTCCGCACTTTACACACTGTCCGCGGTCGCTCCGACGGAAAGCGCCTCCGAAGCAGCACTCTGTGCCGTGCTCTTTGTAGCCTCCTTACCCTTTGCTTCTCACCACCCTTGAGAGGTAGGTAGTCAGCGTCCCCATCTTACAGATGTGGGAACTGAGACACAGAAAGGGCGAGCATCTTACCCAAGATCACTCAGGGCGACAGTGATAACCAACTGCCAATGAAGCATGCCGCCCTCGACGCCTCCCCTCACTGCCAGCCCCCGGCCACTAGTAACAACACAGCTAGCACAGGTGCCCCTGGGAGAACCGTCCTGGGAGGAGACCCAGAAGGGCAGGAGTAGGCAGACCTGTTGGGGGACTAAACAAAGGCAGACAGAAAGGGGCAAAGTCTGACCAAGTGCCCTGTGCCCAGCTGGCCAGTTCAGCACAGTAAGGTCCGATGAGCAGGAGGTGTCCAAACTGGCCAGAGGAGGGAGACGTGGCCAGATCTTGGTTCTTTGGGATAAACAGGGGAGGGTGGGAATGGTGAGGAGGGGCAGGCCTCTGCCTAAAGCACGAAGGGGCTGCTCTGGGCATGGCAGAGGGCCAGCCGGCACTGACGGGCCCTGCTGTGTGCTGGGCATCCTGTGGACATTTGGCAAAAACCATCTCAGGAGAATCAGCACAAAAGGAAAAGGTTGGGGAGAGTGAGAAATCCAAGTGGCTGAGCTGGGTGGTGCAGGGGAGCCAGGAAAGGAGTTTAGACTAGTTGGGGGTGACTAAGGATGATCACTGTTCACTGTTTAAGCCTTTGGCTAAACCTCCATCCCAGTGAGTCAAACCCACAGAGAAGCCCAGGCCCCTGATTACGCCTGAGGGAACCCGGCCAGGCCAGGACCCGGCCAGGCCAGGACCCACCCAGCCGCCTGCTTTCTCCTTGTACCTGCAGGCTGTGCAGGGCCAGGATCTGCTGTCCCGCCACCTGGCTGTCCCAGCCAATCCTGGGATAAGCCTTGGGCTGTCTCAGGAGGGACACAGAGCCTGGGCCTGTGTGAACGACGGATGTCTGGAGCATCCCACAGCCAGGTGAGAAGAGACAGGAGACGGGAGAGGCACAGCTGTCACAGTAGTGGATCCCAAACAGGGGCGATTCTCCACCCTCCCCAGCGGCACTTCGCAATGTCCGGGGACATCTTTGCGGGAGGCGCCCCTGGGATGTAGCTAGGGATGCTGCTAAACTTCCTACAATACACAGGACACCTCTCCCACCAACAAAGAATTATGTGCCCCAAAATGGCAACAGAACCAAGGTTGAGATGCCCAGATGTAGATTAAGGCGGGTAAGGGGCTGAAATCCAAGCCACTCCCTGGGAGGAGGAGGCACACTTTCCTAACTCAGCCACTGTGAGAGGACTAACAGGACGTCATGGGGGTGGGTGGCAGGGAAAAGAGAATGTATCTGCTGTCACGTAGGCTGTGCTTTGTGTTGTGGAAGGAAAGGCGCCACAGGCAAAACCTGACAAGCTCAGGGGAGGCCTGTGTGGCAGCTGCACAGACTCAGAGCCCCAAAGTAACCGCAAAGGACGGTCTGACTAAAAGCAGTTCCTGGTGGACAGTCATGTCCTAGGCCAGAATCGTTCCCTAAAAAAGGTCAGTATTTACCTTAACTGAGCCTGTCTTTAATCTTTTTGCATTCCAGATAACACAGCTTTGGAAAGTCAAGATAATTTTCTTCTTCAGGACACCCCAGAGCACAACCTCCCACCCAGGTGGAGACCCCAGAGACCCCAGAGCCCTGCATTGTTATCTTGTCCCCCCACACACTGTCCCTCTGCGGTGAACGCTCCTTGTTAACGCTGGGACACCCACCAATGGGAAAGAAACACGTGTCTCTCCATTTCACTTCTTATCCAATCCCAGAGGTTTCCCTGCTCCCGTGTCTCCCGCCTCCCTAATCTATCACCAATGGATTTCATGTGACCCCCCTTCTGGCTCCTCCTTTGATTATAATGTATAAAATGTGTTAAACTGCTATTCTCCAGGGCATTTCTCAATCCGTTGAGATTTTTTGCTTCCTGGCAATTGTCGTCAATTTGGCTCAAATAAACTCATAAAAAATTCTCTACAGGTTTGACAGTGCATAAAGCAATTTCAAAGAGATATTTAGTCGTTAATAGAGGGTCAAAAAGTCAACCCACACGATGATGTCATCTCCTTGTTGGCAAAGAGAGAGGTTTTAAAGCGCGGTGACATATCCCTGAGGTGGGAAATGAGATGTGGTCAAAGACCTTCACTGGAAGGTACCCGCAAGTGCCCATCAACGGGGGACAAGCTGGATAAACGAGGGGGTATCCTGCAGAAGAATGAGGATACTGTCCACGTACAGCTATGGAAGGGTCTCCAGAACATATTAAGTGAAAAAAGCGCAGAACACTGGCGTGCTCCGCTGCCATTAGGTGACGGGGGAGGGATAAAACAGCAGTGTATTAATAATTGCTTACATTTGCATAAAGCTCGTGTATCCCAAACTTGCGCATCAGAACCGCCCAGGGGGCCTTTTTAGCCGCACTTCAAACAACATCCACCTTGCTCTTCTCTGTGGGCGGGGTGTGGAGAGTGCCTCACTTTTCTTACCTAGAGTTCAACTGCTCCACTTTCCCGGGCCCTGACTGGGCGCCACTGGCCTGACCCCCTGCGCGCAGGGCAGTAGACAAAGGCCTATAAAGTGGCCTCTTTCCTTAAGCGGTCCAGCAAACAGGAAACTATTTCCCAGTCCTCAAGTGGCCGCTGAACGTGAGAAGTTCACGGCTTTTGAAGTAATCTTGCAGGAACCAGAGTTGGATCCAAAGCAACAGCCTTCGCCCCGCCCCATTTTTTCCTTCATAGGAAGGGGAATTGAAGGTCTGAAAGACAGTGGCCGCGAGCCAGGGACAAACCTAGCCCTCCAACATCCCCCGCCCCCGCTAAGGAAGGAGGAGCGACGGCTACAATGGATCCTCCTGCGCGCTTTGTGCGCGCTCTCCCGGAATCCAGCTGTCGCCGCCCCACTTGAGGGCGCACATTTCCGGGCTGCCCACCAGCCGGGTCGCTTCGGTAGCCGCTGCCCCGGCAGAGCCTAGAGCTGCTCCCGCCCGATCCGTGGCCGTCCGGCCCCAGTCGCCCCGCGAAATGCCAGTCGACTTCACCGGGTACTGGAAGATGCTGGCCAACGAGAATTTCGAGGAGTACCTGCGCGCCCTCGGTAAGCCACTGCTCGCGGAGCTCGGCCCGGGGGGCGCCCGGAGAACCCCTCGGAGGGGCCCCTCCCCAGAGCCTGCGCAGAAAGGGCGTCAGCTGCGGGGGCTCCTAGGGCGGCCAGCAGGCTTCCTATTGGAGGATGGGGGTTGTTGAGGTTCGTTGGTGGTAAATATCTGATAGTTGGCTCTAGACGTGTATAATTTCATTAGGAAAGCTGGGCTTTGGTTTCCTAGTTTTTGTTTTTAAAGGGTTAGCATAGGGCAGGAAACTTTGGTGCAAAAAAGTAGAAAAGTCTTAAAAGGCACAGACTGGCTGAGCGCAGAGACAGTGCAAGCAAAAGGGAACCACAGCTGCTTTCCCAGGGGGAGCGGGCCCAGGGATCCCTCTACCCTAGGAACAGGTCTCTGGGTTTTCCGGTCAACTCTTTGCCCCTCTCTGTACCCGCACTCCTGCAGATGTCAATGTGGCCTTGCGCAAAATCGCCAACTTGCTGAAGCCAGACAAAGAGATCGTACAGGATGGTGACCACATGATCATCCGGACGCTGAGCACTTTTAGGAACTACATCATGGACTTCCAGGTTGGGAAGGAGTTTGAGGAGGATCTGACGGGCATAGATGACCGCAAGTGCATGGTGAGGATTTACATACACCCAGACATCTCCTGCCCAAAGGGCCTGACCAAAGGCGGGCTAATTAATTGAGAGGGGAACAGGGGCCCTTGTGTTATTAAGAACCAGGGATCTCGGTACTCTCAGCGCCCAAGGTTGGCACCACCCACTCATCCAGCATCCTGATCCGTCCAAACTGAAGGGCGATAGTTATAAAAACTTAGGTTTGTTTAGTTTCCACTGTGTCCTGCCACTGAGTCATGTTTTTTATACACTTGACTTCACCGCCTCCCAGCAGCCTTTGAGGGAGGGCGGTATGAGTGAACACACCCATTTAGCAGGTGAAAAAACCGTCTCAAAGAGAGGAAGTAAGATGCCTGGAGTAACTCAGCTAGGGAGGGGCTGGGCTGGAGCTCCAGGCATGTCTGTTGGCTGTTCTCTGACTGCACTGTGGGCTGGTGGAATGAGAGCAGGAAGGGAGGAAATGAAGAAGAGACACAGGAAGCCCTCTTCATGTAAACTTCCTATATGATCTAGCCTGAAGCCCAGGAAGCATTGTGATCTCTGCCAGAGTCTTCTGACCTGCCCCTTCCCGTCCTCAAAACAGGGACTTGGATCCCGACTGTCCCCTTTCCCACCTATCTTTGCCCGTGTGCAGCTGAGCCTCCTTTGAACCTCGCAGCCAACACCTACTGGGAAGGTCGGCTCCTTTGCAGCTCCTGCCAGAGGTTCAGCAGTGGGGGTGGGGGAGGGGAGGGAGACCTTGCTCCCAAGGGTGGGAAGCTGGTGACCTAGAGACCCCAATTAGTGCTGTCACAGCAAACCCCAGAAGGTCACCCCAGACCTCCATCAACAACATTCTCAGGTCACTGGGAGGTCAGGGTGCTCCCAGTCTCCCTTTCACAGTCCTGAGTCCAGAGCTGTCAGTAGTTTATGCTTATTGATGAGGCCCTGCCCCTTGTCCTTCCCTCCTCCCCCTTCCGTTATACACAACGGGGGGGGGGGGGTATCTGCCGTACACCCTGCACTGTGCACAGCCCAGTGAGGGAGAGCTTAGTCATTCCATATTAGGCAATAACAGGCTCCACAGGGGAAAAGACTTGGAAGAGATGGGATTTGAACCCTGGGTCTTTGGACTTTGAAGCCCACACTCCTCCTCTCTATGGCTCCTCTCTGCTGGTAGCTTTGCAGAAACCAGATGGCCGAGGTTTGTTGAGACTGTGGTTGAGGAGTGTCGGTGCCTGGGGATAAGGAGCCCTAGGCCTAGAGGGCTCATTCTCTTTTGTTGATTCATATGAAGGTGGTCAGGAGTGAGTGCAAGCCTGCTGTGTGGAATGATAGCAGAAGAAGGGATAGCAGACGGGGAGTGTCCTTGGAGAGGCTACTGGTGGGAGAAAACACTGCTGTTGTAGGGAGATGCCAGGCTGTGCCTTGAAAAGACCTGAGGTCACTTAACCTGCCCAGATGCTCACAGTGAGAAAGGTCTGCCCGGTGCTGGCGGGGGTGGGGCATGCCTTTGAGAGAGCCGCTGCCCAGGATCTGCCCCTGGCCGGTGCCTGGAATTGCCCCATGAGAACAGTTGCCCCCAGCTCACTCCTGGGGAACTCACAGCACACAAAAAGACATTTCTCTTTATTTTGGGTCACCCACAACCTCTGGAATGTATTGGCTTGTACCTGGCTAATTATCTTCACACTTTAATTTCTTCCCTTAATGCGTAAAGCATTTACTGATCACCGAGGATACTAGCTGATAGTCATCAAGGGCTTACTACATACCAGTTACTGTTCACATTTTATTTTAATTCAATCTTCACAATATTTTACAGATAAGAAAACTGAGGCAGGACTTGTTGTGTGGTCTCAGGGAAGCAGAGTCAATGGCAGAGGGAGAGTTTAACTTTGGTCCATCGGCGCCAGAGTGCCTGCCCTTAACCACTGCACCATACTTACCACTGTCCTGTCACGTAGCAGTCTCGGCACCAGGCCCGGGGCCACAGCCCGCACAGCACAGTCCCTGCTGTTCAGAAGCCCAGGGTCTTAATGGTGGAGACACACAAACAGTCCAAACACAGTGAGATCAGTGGGGACAAAGGGAAGCACCCAGAGGAGGGGATGCCCGAAGGAGTTCTGGAGAGCGTCACTTCTGTACTTGATTAGAAAAGAACGGGAGGTAGGAGGGAGGGGTTTGGACACAAAACAAGGGACCCGTAGCTGCCTTGTTTTCTTAACCCAGCAGTGGGATAGTGGTGGGTAAGCAGATCAGGGAGCCCAGCAGTTGGGCAAACCAGAGGAAATTGGGTGGGATTCGTGGTCACTTTTGTTGCTCCAGGACTCACTAGATGGCCACTCACTTCCCTTGCTGTTGCCCATTTCGGGAGAGACGGCCCCTCTGTGCAGGCTTCCCTTGGCCCCTCCTGGCCTTTCTCTCCTGGCTGCCCAGCTGGAGGGTGGACCACAGTGAAGAGCGTGGCTGCAGGAGGGTTAGCATAATGGAATTACAGCCACCTTCCACCCTGAGCCTTGTGCGTGGAGGGGCCCTCAGGGGTCCTGAGCAGGGTGGCAGCCCTTTCTGCGCCACACACTCTGCACCCACCATCCAGAAGCAGCAGCTGGGAGGAAGCCAGTTTGTTCTCAGCATCAGGTGGATTCATTCTAAGGTGTTCTTCCCAGCACATTACAAAGGTGTCACTTCGCACAGGGGATCATTCATTCATGTTTTGTTCGTTCCTCTCTTGGTCCTATGAGCATTTCAAGGTGCTTGCTCTATCTTTGCAGCCCCTGTCTATGTTACTGAGATGAATCACATGACAGTCCTGACCTCACAGAGCTCAGGGTAGTGGGGGAGCCAGATCAAAGCGGCCTGTCCTACTGCAATCGTGTGCATGGAGAAAGGACGGGCAGAGAAGGACCCCCTCCTGGGTCTGGGAGGTCAGGGGAAGTTCCCACAGGAAGCCGAGTCTGAGCTGTGGCTTGAAGGATACACAGAAAGAATCCAGGCAGGCAGGAAGGGGGTGAGAGGAAGGCCAAGGCCAAGAGAGCAGCACTTGGTACATGCTATTTTGGACCCGTCTCATAGCAGGCCCTGGGCTCAATGTGGGGACACGGAGGCAGGAAAGCCTCTGGAGCACCTGAGCCAGTGGAGGAGACAGAGGACCTTCAGGCCATTACAGCCCAGTGCTGTGGTGGAAGCCCAGTGGGTAAGGAGCACAGGGCCCAGGCCTTGGGGCAGCAGTGGTCATGGAAGGTTCCCAGGAAGAGATGACAGCTGAGTGGGGCCTTCAAGGACAAGTAAGAATTAGGGCAGGTGTGTCGAAGGGATAACAACGTTCCAGGCTGAGGGAACCAAGGCCTGGCTGGGAGGAGGTTAAGGAGATGAGAGAGATGCAGTCTAGAAGACTGTAGTGTGGCTGAAGTGCAAGATGTGGCCAGAGGAGGGGACAGTGATGGGGAGGAGACAGGAGCCTAGATAAGGCCCCAACAAGCCCCAGGGAGCCTTGCTGGGTGAGGCGTGGTCAGGCTGACGTTCCTCTCCAAGGCCGCCCGGCCGGAGATCTGCAGCCGGCCCCTCTTCCCTAGGAATGCAGATAAGGTTCCTAGCCGGAAGGCAAAATCTGGCCTACAGATGTATTTTGTTTGGCCTGCACAATATTTGAAAAATTTCAGAGCCAGTTACCAATGATTGCCAAAGATTGCAAAATTTCATAGAAAAAATCTGTATTTCTAGCTGCTCTTACCAAAAAAAAAAAAATCAAGACGCTAGAAATGCTGGGTGTGTGATTATTTCTGTGTCATATGACTCCCTGGGACACTGTCACAGTTGCTCCCTTTGGATGGGACATTGTCCAGGTTCCCGAAGTCCACTCATCCCACCCTGTTCCCTGAGGTCGAGGATCAGCTGGCCCATCGTCACCGTGTGCACTGCAGGCTCCTCACAGCAGGGGTTCCCTGAGCGGAGTCCGGCAGCACTGGCGGCAGCAGGAGAATGTTAGAAACCCAGGTTCTCCGGCCACACCCCTGATCTGCTGAATCAGAAACTCCAGGAGTGGCGCCAGCGACCTGGGTTTCAGGGCACCGGCCAGGTGGTTCTGATGCAACTGGAGCCTTCGGTCCACTGCCCTGGAGTAAAGAAATGTCTCTGCGTCTGCATCTTTCTAAAACCAGGTGTAGGGAGCCAGGTATCGCTGGCTGGTTTAGCCCATCCTCTGACCCCCCGGGGACATTGCCATCCGTGCCCAGAACCACCTGAAATGGCTCTGTGGTCTTCCCAGGTTGAGGCGTGGAGAGACTCAGGTCTGTGTAACCCAGAGTCAGTCACTCCACTCACATTTTCAGTCCGTTCTCTTCAGCTTTTACACTGCCCACTGCGGCAGAAGCTGTCATTTTGGTAGAACTACATGGAACTGGTTTTTCTCCACCGCCTCCTGCACACCGGTATCCGCTCAGACGCAGTCTCCAGCCCAGTTTGAACCCATTATCATTTACTGACTCTCGCAGCTGTAGGCTTTGGCAGGGTGGGGGACCTAGAAAAAGGAAAGTGTTCCTCAACTTCAGACTGCGTTCTCCATTCCAGGAGGGAATCCCCCCAGTGAGGAATGACTGGGTTCTTTGTTCTCAGCTCCCCCAGCAGGAGTGGCTTTTGTGGGAGAAGAGTGAGCCTCAGCCAGGAATCGCAGCCGTCAGCCTGGCTCTGCATGGTGGTGGCAGAAGGGCCATTTGTCATCCCACCATGGGCACCAGGACAGGTTTTTCCCTGGAGGGGGTGGCTTTGTTCACGCAGGAGCCCTGTGCCTCTTCCCTGGCTGAGGCCCTGCCTTCCTATCCAGCTCTGAACTCAGGGTGACCCCTTCCACAGAGGCTGCCTTCCGCTTCAAGGCCTCCGCCGCTCTGTGGGGTTCTTTGTTTTTATTGTAAAAGGGAAACATTCAAATAGCCAAGGAGAGAGTCAACTGAAAGGGAAAGGACCCCTTCGCTCTCTCTGCCCGATTCCCATTCCCCAGGGGTGACCCCTGTTACAGTTCCTGG